CCTGTGGCTTTGCTGCTAGAGATCACAGATGCAGGTCCGGCCAACAGAATTCGGCTTGCATGCGGCCATGGTAAGCCATTGTCTTTCGGCTTCTGCGCCCTCCTTTCCCACATACCAAGCAAAGCCCATTGAGTGCTGGGGTTTTCCTGTTAACCTTCAGCAGCAGAAAACAAACTAACCCCCACCCCACCATGAATTCTCTGGGATGATCGCTTTATCCCTCCCCCCACTGCGTGACTGGTATCAGGGAAGATCCCTGCTAGCCAAACGCGAAAAGCTCAGGGCCAATTCCCCCCTCCCCCGCGCTTGGCTAACTGCAGGGAAGGATTTCTTTTCAGCCACAGGCAAACTGCCCAGTAGGAACGGCCACCTCTGTCCCCTTAATTAAATTCCCATATTTCAACCAGGTTACCATGAGCGATATCACTCTCCTGAGGATTACACAGCGAGATAAAGAACGGATGTTGCTTGAATGCCAGCAAACACCGGGACCATACGCTGCCAGGCTTTGTCATGCAATGATACCAGATTACTTGCTGCAAGCATGGTGTGGTCAAGTGTCCTACCATGGAGGACGAAATAAGGCTGTACTGCCCAGAAACCTTGTGGCAAGTACCTCCAGGAGAGCTTCATGGAGATGTCCCTGGAGAATTTCCGCTCCATCCCCAGACACGTTAACACACTTTTCCAGTAGCTGTACTGGCCGCGAATGCATCCCAAGTCCTCAGGGCAAAGTAATCATTAAAAAACACTTGCTTCTAAAACAAGTTTTATATTTTAAAAGGTAAACTCACCTGAGGTCTCTTCCATTGGGTCATGGTCTTGGATACTGGCTTGGGAGGGTACTTCAGTCAGGCTGAGAAAAAGATCCTGGCTGTTGGGGAGAACGGAGTGCTGTGTGTTCTCCGCAAGCTCCTCCTCCTCTTTCCCGTCCGCAGAATCCTCAGGTGTGGCTGATGAGATTACCCCCGCCTCAGAATCTACGGTCAGAGGTGGGGTAGTGGTGGCGGCCCCCCCTAGAATTGCATGCAGCTCAGCGTAGAAGCGGCATGTCCGCAGCTCTGACCCGGAGCGACCGTTTGCCTCCTTTGTTTTTTGATAGGCTTGTCTGAGCTCCTTGACTTTCACGCGGCACTGCTCGGAGTCCCTATTGTGGCCTCTCTCCATCATGCCCTTGGAGATTTTTTCAAAAGTTTTGGCATTTCGTCTTTTCAAACGAATTTCTGCTAGCACTGAATCCTCTCCCCATATAGCGATCAGATCCAGTACCTCCTGTATGGTCCATGCTGGTGCTCTTTTTCGATTATCAGCCTGCATGGTTACCTGTGCTGATGAGCTATCTGTGGTCACCTGTGCTCTCCATGCCGAGCAAACAGGAAATAAAATTCAAATGTTCGCAGGGCTTTTCCTGTCTATCTGGCCAGTGCATCTGAGTTCAGATTGCTGTCCAGAGCGGTCACAATGGTGCACTGTGGGATAGCTCCCGGAGGCCAATACCATCGAATTGCGGCCACACTAACCCTAATTCGAAATGACAATATCGATTTTGGCACTACTCCGCTCATCGGGGTGGAGTACAGAAATCGATTTTAAGAGCCCTTTATTTCGAAATAAATGGCTTCGTTGTGTGGACGGGTGCAGGGTTAATTCGATTTAACGCTGCTAAATCCGAATTAAAGTCATAGTGTAGACCAGGCCTTAGATGTGTTATAACGGGATGACATACTCAATCCTGTTCTTGCTCAGTCCTACCTGCCATTTGTAAATTAATCCTTAACTGAATATTACATTGCCCACTGTAACATATTCTTTGTTTACTAACCACAGCTAGTGTTAGCTTTTTATAATATATTGGCTAATTGGCTGTTAATTGTTAAGAGTTGCTCTCTGAAATAAAGTATTACCAGTTGTTTATAGCCACTTGTAGCTAGCAAATAAATTAATTATGCATATTCCAGACATAATGATATATACATAAAATATTATACCTGCAGTGCATCAAGGATGATGATTAGGAATTCAAGGATTCATGAACTATTTTTGAGTTAGAAAATGGTCTGTGTTTGCAAGACTTTTTACTCATAATTTCGTAATTTAAATCCATGGTTTTCTCCCAAGGACATCAATTATTTTCTTAATTAAAGGGAAACCTACAGTATGTATTAAGGATAGATACTGCACCACCCAACTCCCCATAAAAAGCTACAGTGGCGTGAGTGGGTGGCCTATATAAACAGATAAATATTATTTTTTGTATTCAGTTTTTCTCTCATTTGATTAAGTCCTTACTTTCCTAGGTCCATGTGCCCATGTGTGTTTGGTGTTGTCATTTTGTTTTGGTTTTGGTGGTGGTTTGTGTGGGTTTTTCCCTTGTCAGAGTTTACAAAGCCTCCCAATTTAGAATCATTTATGAGTAGTTATTGTTTATATATTGCCATTACACCTAAATCACACCTAACAGTCAAACAAAAGACAGGTTCTTGCCCTGAAGAATTTACAATTTATCTATATATAAAGAGAGGGTTTGCATATACGTTCATGAAAATGGGAACTGCAGGTGCTCTCATAGTTAAATAAGAGATCTGATTTTCACGCTCTAAATCTAGATTTGGGGCTTGTTTACACAGTGACATCCAGGAAAAGTAATCTGAATTAACTAGGGGCTTGTCTACACAAACAGTTAGTTCACAGCAAATGTGGATCTATGCTGTGCTAGCCTGCCATAGACTAACTGTCCATGTGGACCCAACCGGTCTGTTAATACACTTTGATCTAGTCCCTTTCAAAGATGACTAGATCAAAAAGTGTATTAACCAACTGTTAGTGCACATCAGCAGGGTCCATGTGGAGTCCACAGCAGGACAGTGTGAGATAGATTCATACCCCGATTTGCCACAAACAAAATATTTGTGTAGACAAATCTTAGAGGTGTGAATTTAAATAGTTAAAACATGTTAAATCCCTGTGTGGATGTTGTTATTCAGAGCTAAAGGGGTCTTAATTTGTCTTATTTTAATTCACTTTGGCAATGAACTAAACTAAATGGAATTAAGGCCACTAGTTATGGATGAGGGTGTTCACATAGGGGTTTAATGAGGCTTAACCAATCCACTTCAAATCCACACCTTTAGTTAATTCAGATTAATTTTTGTGGACATCCCTATGTAGACAAGCCCTTAGTTATTTACATGTTGGCACCCAAATTTGAAAATATTTCCCTTAATATACAATTATTGCTCATTAACGATTTGCACTTTGGTTCACTAAACCAATTCCTTTTCAACATAATAAGAAATAAACATACAGTGATGGTGCAGATCCAAGGATTCTGGCTGGCTGGGTGTCGTCATTAATCAGTCAAAGTACAGAAATGGATGGTTTTATGGCTAACACATAGAACTGGAAGTCAGATGATCTGGGTTCTATTCCTGGTTCCTCTGCTGTTTTGTGTGTGTGTGTGTTATTTTCAGCAGTTCAAGCATATTTGAACCTAGGCCTTGCATGTGACACCTATGATAAGATTAATTTGGAAAAGGCAGCTTTAAAAAACTGCTAGAAACAGTAATTGACCAAGAAGCATTTTTCCTGATTATTTCCTGAAATTTTTCTATCTGGGAGGGCCATTTATTCAAACACTTACTCTGGAGGAACTAGAATGGAAGTCTGTGGAAGCCTATAGAATGATTATTTCCTCCATGCACAGTTATTTTAAACTCAGTTACTGTTCTGATTTACTTGTTAACTTTTATTAATTACTATTGATTCAAGTACAGCAAGCCATACTTTTCCAAAACACTAGAGCTGGCAGGCATTTCACAGGTAAATCTGCATTATGAAACACAAAGAAAACAAAAATATTTAAAATTTCCTGAAAAACAAAATAAAAAAAAATTCATACTGACTTTGAATCTTTTTTCATTGTATATTATAAATTAAAAAATATTGAAATAAAAAGTCATTTCAAAATGGAAAATAGAAACATTCCATTCTGAAGAGGTTGAAATGGAATATTCTGATCTTATCAAAATCCTGTTGTCTGTTGTTCTTTATCAAAATCGACATATTTTTGCAAAACATGTCATTTTTGACCTATTTGCATTTTCCAGCAGAAAAACATTCCATCAGAAAACTTCTGACCAGCTCTACAAAATACCCTTCTCAAAATCTTGTAGTCAAATGTCTTCATGACCAACATTCTAGAATCCGCTAGGCAGGATTTTGGATCTGTCTGCTATACAAACCTGCAAAAGAACCATCAGAGAACCTCATTGCTATGTGATGGCACATTTGCTTTCATTAGAGTATCTGTGGGCATATATTATGCTGTACTCTAAAATGTACTGAAAGAGTTAACTAAATCGCATAGCCAAAAAAATAAAAAAAGACGGGGTTCCAGAATTGTGCAGCCAAGTGCTGATAAGGGCTTACAGTTTGAGAAAAGCTATTGGAATAGGAGTCTCGGTGGTTCACAGTTTTAATGCACAAAGTCCAGCGTATTTGATAATTCAAAAAAAGTCAAGGTTTTTTGAGGCTTTGTGCTGTAAATGAAACAGCAGAAGCAATTGCTTTTGTCTCTATCTGTTTCCAGGGGGGAAAGAAACAAGGTAATGTGCACTTGCAGTTACCATGCCATGTAGAACAATGGCTTCATGTGGCCCCCTGTATGCTAGTGAACTCTGACTTAGCAAGGACTGCTTTTCTCAAGAGCAGAAAGCATTTTGGATCAAAGGGCTATGAAAGACTGAGATAATAGCTATGTTCCATTTATCAGGTCTTAGTAAAACATTCACCAGACAACACCCACGTGAATAAAAGACTGTGGGTTGCAGTCTCCATTTGAAATGTCATATTGCAACTCCCATTATTACCCTGTTTAAGGTGCGGCTTTATTTTTGCACAGATGTGTGCTTGAGTGGTTAAGAGTAAACGTGTAGCCTGATTATATTTTGTGTGTTTGTTTTGTCTTATTCATATTTCTTTTCTTCTTCCTCCAACAACTGACTCGGAGAATTCACTCCTACGATACCTGAGTGATGACAAGATCTTGGTGATCCAAGAAGAGCCTTTGACACAGAAAGACAACAAGAGAGACACAGGCCGCAGGTCAAGGAAAAAGGGCAAAAACACAAGTAGTCCGAACTATCCAATTAGCCCATCTGTGTTAACATCTACAGTTAGCGTTAGGCTGGAACCTGGGCAGCAAGATGTCCTGAATTTCTCATTAGCTGAAAGCAACACTGTTCCACTGTACCACGTAAGTTCATAAAAATTTGAAGTTTTAATTCTTTTTTCTTAATAGCCATTGAAACTAGGATTGGCACAGCAGAAGTATGATCTTATATCTTACAGTATCATGTTGCATGGCAGGGTTCTACGGTTCATTTTTCACATCCATACCATAAGATACAGAGCTCATCTGAAAACCATCTGGATATTATGAAAAAGTTCAGTCCATAATACAGAGAACACTTGTCCACTATGGGTAGGTTTATATTTGGGACAGCATGTAGACTGCAGACACTGCTCACCCAACTAGCATGGGCATAAATAGCAGTGTAGAAAGTGAGGCACAGCTTAGGTGAGTATAGTAGAGAGAGGCCAGTACCCTGCATGGATCTCTGCACACTCAGTAGTGTCTCCCATATCTACTCTATTTTTAGCAGTGTGGTGTCCTGGTGCAAGAGCCTTTCCATGCCACAGTGAAAGACTCTGGCAAAGGGGAGGCAGTGAAGGAAGTCTGTGACAACAGCTCCCTCACTCAAAGGTCACATTCTCCTGTATCTTGATTATGGTTAGTGAGTTGTAGTTTTAACATGTTAGATGGTGAAGGTAAAGCATAGACAAGAGTTTAGGGTTTCCTTCAACCGGATAACATGAAAAAATATGAATTGCCTTGTCTTCACTAGGATTTTTGCACATTAGTTGACTTCTATCAGTTAGCACATTAAAAACACACCTTTATTCCTCGTGAAGACAAGGCCAGTGTGACTCAGTTGGTGGGATCTCTTCATTTCCAAGTGGATTGGCTCAATCCCAGACTCTGCTCCCAGGACAATTGATGCTGAACCAGGAGATCTTCAGTTTAGGGTGTAATCAATAATGGACTTTTTGCAATATCAGAGAACGTACGCCTCCCCACGTTCTGAGTTTCTGCAGTCGATACAAGGAGCTCATAGCTTGGACCATGAAAGCATTCTCAATCATAGTGGGTAGAGAGGCATGTCCCCTGACATACACGTTACCTATCTTTTGAGGAAGGAAAAATTGGTCAGAGGATCCCTGACACTAATTGCCTACTCAGGTCATGATTACTTAGTGCTGTTAACCTTGTTGGCTGGGTCCCTTTGGACCTGCTCCAAATTGCAGATCTGCTGTCCTGAGACCCAGTGGTTAAGTCATTCAAGCAAGCTCTTTCTAAAATCTTGGGTGTAATCATAGCCCTATTAAGTTTAATGGAGAAATTCAAATGTATTTAAATGGTGTCCAGATTTCACCCTGGAATTTAAGTACAAGGAACATATGAATTGTTATGCTGGGTCAGACTTGAAGTCCATCTAGTCCAATATCCTGTTAACAACAGTTGCCAGGACCAGTGGCTTCAGAGGAACATATGAGAATTTCAGAGTATGCCCCCCATAATAGATCTCGTGCTTATCTTTTGTAGTCAAAGATTGGCTTACTCCCTATAACATGGGGTTTAATATGCCTTCCATAACATTTTTGTTGCTGTTAATTATGGTAACTGTGAATATTCTTGATATTTATATAAATGCCCAGTCTCTTTTCAAATCTTGTTAAATTCCTGGATTTAATGACTTCATGTGGCAATGAGTTCCATGGTCCAATTACACATTGTGTGAAAAAGTATTTCCTTTTATCTGTTTTGACTTTCTCGCCTTTTTATATTATTGACTGTCCCCTTGTTCTTATATTATGATGCAGGAAGAACAGGATACTGCTACTTATAGCCCATTTCAGACTGGTTTCCAGCTTAGCAAAACAGGCATTTTTGTTCTTACCTTTTAAATTGAATTTCTGCAGAGTGAGACCAACAATCTCGAAGCCTCAGCCACATAGATATTGCTCAAATTGTGGTTGTTTTTTCCCCGAGTTATTTGATAACTTTATTTGCATCTATATTAAGTAATCAACTGGTTCTTTTGTCAAGCTATTCTACAGGGGAGGAGGCTAGAACCTGAAAAGCCTAACAACTATTTGGGTGGGGCTCCCTGCTAGGAGATAAGGAGGGAGAAGCCCATTTCAGATTGGTTAGCCCACTATGCAGAAATTCAGCGTTCAAGGTAAAACCAAAATCTCCTTTGTTGTACATGTGTCTGAGAGAGAAATTAGTACATATCCAGAGTGGACCACACTCATCACTGATTTAACCTCATTGATATCAGTGAGGATGTACCAGGGAGAAATCTAGCCCTGTGTTAAGTAATGTTGAAAGTGAAGTTACTGTGGCATTATAACTTTTTTTTTTGTAAAACTATTCTCCCAAAACACTATTTCAGTTAATATATTTTAATTTTATTTAATCTTAACTCCATTACATCTACCTACTTTATCAAATTCCCAATATATTACTCTGAAGTGCTCCAGCAAAGTATTCAGTATTAGTGGACTATTTTTGTCAGCACAAATAAATACTCTTGCTCACTGAAACTGGGTAAAATGGTTACCTCTGAGACATAATTAAGTTGTTATGCATTGGATTTAGCTTTGTTACACTTCATTAGTCTTGGTAAACAAAAGACATTTAATTTAGACTATAGTGTCTACATGCATGAATATGCAACTCAAAATGATGTTTTTGTTTTCCACTGGAACATGTAATTGTAAAAACTGTTTAGAATCAGAGTGCAAATGGCTTTTGTTTTTATTGTGTTTTGTTTTGGTTTTTTTTTGGGGGGGGGGGGATGGTTACCACTGAGATGCAAAATTGACCAGGATATTTTCGAGTAATAAAAAACAGTTATGCTGCTTTGGTGTTTGCAAACAGCTATTTCTACCTGGAAAAAAATGACATCAAGGCCTGACCATATGTGCTTGGGCTCAAAGAAAATAATATGAAAGCTTTTCTAGAAGGCTTTGTATTGTGATGTTCAACCATTCACTGGGATTCCACCATATTCATTGTATACGTTTCCATCTACCTCATAGCTTAGTGGAAGACTTTGACTGGCCACTATAGAATCATAGAAATGTAGGGCTGGAAGGAACCTCAAGATGTCATCTAGTCCATCCCCCCCCATAATGAGGCAGGACTAAGTATACCTAGACCAGTGGTTCTCAACCTACTTATCATTGTGGGCCACATATGTGCCTCCCCCCCCCCAACACACAGACCCCTATGCCCAGCACCCGCCCCAACCCAGAAACCCCTCCACAGAGTGGGGCCAGGAGCAGACCCCAGTGCAGGGCTGGGCAGCAGGGCAGCCCCAGGCCCCACCGCACGACAAGGCAGAGCAGCCCCAGGCCCCACCACCTGGCAAGGCAGAGCAGCCCTAGTGCCATGGACCCTGCCACATGGCAAGGCAGTGCAGCTCCAGCAGCCCCGGGCCCCACCACGCCGGGCAGCCGTGGTGGCCTGGATCCCAGCCATGCGAGCCCTGCGGCCTTTAGCACACAGCTGAGAACCGCTGACCTAGACTGTCCTTGACAGGTGTTTGTCCAACATGTTCTTTAAAACCTCAACTGACAAGGATTCCACGCCTTTCTTGGTAATTTATTTCTGTACTTTTCTATCCTTAACGTTAGAAAGTTTTCCTAATATTGAATCTAAATTTCCCTTGATGCAGATTAAGCTGATTACTTTCCTCAGTGGACATGGAGAACAACAGATCTAGGATCAGATTCACACTCAGGAATTGGATCCAGTAATGTTACCCAAAGTTCAACAAACTTCCCTGAGGCAGGGTTTTCAAACTTCCCTGAGGCAGGGACACTCCAAGACCTTTTATGCAACAGGCATATGATATGATGCTGGACTGGAGCAATTAGCAGGACTGGCACATGTCACTTTGGGTGCCTTGGCCATACTGACCAATTCCCACTTATCCTTGCCCTATGAGAAAGTCTGATTGTTTGGTTCCAGATCAAGCACAGCCTAAATCTGTGAATCTGAGGTGATTGGGTCCTATACAATCAGAACCAATAGATACAGAACATTCTTGTAATTTAGTACAAGATACACTTTTGGAAGAAGAGGGAGATACATCCCCTCCAGTTGAATTTAAAAAACAAGAAATTGAATTAGATAGTGGTTCATCTTTGGCCAAGAATGTAGGAGAGTCTTCTTCAGAAAATACTATTCAGTTCCATGAACTAGTAGACAGAATAGAGTCAATATTTAAACAACCATTTCAAAATATTAGGCCACATATGTAGTAGAAATATTAGGTTCTACTACAAGAAATAAAATATCTTTGCCAATATTAGAAGAGCTTCAACAACCAGCAAAAACAATCTGGTCCAATCCATCTTCATGTCAGCCAAAAAAGGCTGACAAATTATACCAGATTCCATAAGCAGGGGTTTCTTGTTTTCATGTTCACCTCCCTCTGATTCACTTGTTGTGGTACCAGTGGTACAAATATTGAAGTCCAGGTCTCTTACACTCCACTCCAAATGAAAGAGAAGGGAAAAAGTGAACACTTTAGGAAGAAATTTTTCTTCAGCTTCCTTGAATATGAGAGTGGCCAGTTACCAAGCTAGATATCAATTTCTACTTTGGGAAAAGATTTCACTTTTCACTAAAAACCTCCCAGAATTTAAAAGAAAATGAATGTCTGCCCTTATAAAAGAAGTCCAAAATGCTGCTAAACATGAACTTGAGGGCATTTTTTGGCATTTCAGATACTGCATCCAGATCTATTGCTTCATGAGTAGCTCTCCATAGACATGTGTAGCTAAGATCATCATCATTACCTGTGAAGACAAAATCTAAAATAGAGGGTCTTCCCTTTGAAGGAGATGTACTCTTCATTCCTAGCACTGATGAAGTTTTAGAGAAAATGAAAGAGACATGTTTAATGGCTAGATCTTTGGTTTATGTCAACCTTTTAGAAGAAAGACATCAATGCTTATGTTCAGATATCATAGACAGTAATACCTGCCTCCTCCTTCTTTGTCATCATAGTTTACACAAATAAGGCAGCAACACTGGCAGCAACAATACCAACAATAATTGTCTCAGGCTAGGAAAAAGGCCTATAAACATTGAAGGGGCAGTAAAAATTCTTCAGGTAT